GAATCAAGATCACGTGAAGTGTTAATACCACTTTACAATGCCTTGGTAAGGCCACACTTGGAATACTGCATCCAGTTTTGGTCACCACGATGTAAAAAAGATGTTGAGACTCTAGAAAGAGTACAGAGAAGAGCAACAAAGATGATTAGGGGACTGGAGGCTAAAGCATATAAGGAACGGCTGCTGGAATTGGGTATGTGTAGTTTAATGAAGAGAAGGACGAGGGGGGACATGATAGCAGTATTCCAATATCTCACGGGTTGCCACAAAGAAGAGGGAGTCAAGCTATTTTCCAAGGCGCCTGAAGGCAGGACAAGAAGCAACGGGTGGAAACTAAGCAAGGAGAGAAGCAACCTAGAACTAAGGAGAAACTTCCTGACAGTGAGAACAATTAACCAGTGGAACAACCTGCCTCCAGAAGCAGTGAATGCTCCAACACTGGAAGTTTTTAAGAAGAGACTGAACAACCATTTGTCTGAAATGGTATAGGGTTTCCTGCCTGAGCAGGGAGTTAGACTAGATGACCTCCAAGGTCCCTTCCAACTTTATTATTATTATTATTATTATTACTATTATTATGGTTAAAATACTGCCCTAAAAATAATCTGAGCTGAAGATGCCATGAAATTGAATCTCTTTAATTTTTGTTACTGCTTTTTTTTTTATTTCAAAGCAACTTTAATGGCTTCTGATGTAGTAAGCTGGATGTGTATTAGCTTTTTGGTGCATTGAGGTTTTGAATATAGACTAATCACTCGTTTCCCCTAAAGGTTGTCAACAACTTGATGCCATCCACGTCACTCAGCTGGAAAGAGATACAGTTCTTGTGTGCTTGGACAGTAAGTGAATGGGATTTATACCCTGTCTAAAAGAAAATAGAAAATGGGGCATAATATAAACCAGGAGGAATAAATACCTCAAAGGAAGATAAGATGTTATTAAGAATGCATTCAGTTTTATCTGATGCTGAAAAATATTACAGTAGACATCAGACACGTGGCATTTTGGTGTTGTCATTGAAAAGGCCTTTCTTCTAGTGTTTTGTCTGATCCTAGAAAGGGAAGATCTCTTTCCAGGGATTCTAATTGAAAGCCATCTTTATACAAGGAAAGTTCACTCTCAAGAAAAACTGAAAACTTCACTTCTCCAGTGCTTCTAGCATTAGAAGCCATTCTCTGTAAAATAGACTAACAAAATGATAGCCTCAAGCTCAGTATATAGATTTCTCATGAGGCTTCTGAATTTATTTATGTGGATTTATTTATGTTATGGCCTTTATAGAACATCCCAGTTCACTCTAGCCAGTGTATGCAAGCAAACCAAAACCAGAATATTTCAAATTGCTAAAATAAATTTGTGCAACTCCCTGCTTTTAGCCTCAGTACCCCTCCTTCCAGCCTCAGAAATATGAGGCAGTGTTTGTGACACTGAGCTTTTTGACAAACTCTACAGTACTACATGGGTGCAGGGCGTACCTTTCATCATTTGATGCCCTGCAGAATGGATGCTAACTAGGCCCAGTGCCCACATTTGCTATTGGATGTAATAAAGTCATAGACACGTAGTAAAGCCAAATGTATTACCGTACTTGACAATTTCATTGTGGTGAATATTTCTTCAGCAAATGCCCCCAAGTGGTGAGAAGCAGGAGTGACTCCTATATCATTGTTACACAAAAGTTAACATTTTCCAAGATTTGATCAATCTTTTCTGCCCCCCAACAGAAAGGAATACAGTATTGTAACTGTTATAATTTTTAATAGAAAGCAAGTAAAGAAAGGAGAAAAAACAGATTGTGACACAGTGGAGTCCTGATTAACCCCACCTGTTCTGAAACTATTAATCTGAAGATACCTTAATCACAGATGTCTCTGTCATTCTTAGTTGTGCCTTCAGCATCATTATGTCAAAATTAAAGCAGAGCTATACAATCCACTACCTACCAAGAAGCCAAGTTTTTTTAATGTGACACATGGCAGTTAATTATATTATCTTTGTTTGATCAGTGCAATTTACTTTTAATTACAAAGTCATATTTAAGTTTTCTCCTGGCCTTGGGGACAGATGAACTTATCTCTAATATGGAAAACCTTGTGAATATTTGGAGGGGAAAATAATATTTGTTTTTTAAGTTAGTGAAAAAGTCTAAAAATGTCTATACATAATCTCCATTGAATTCGGCAGTCTTAAAACAGTGAATTTAATGGTGAATTTCTGAAATCATTGTCGATTTCAGAAAAGGCAAGCACAGCCCCATACCTCTGTATTAAAGATTCACCTGTGGAGGTGGTTAACAGCATTAAGTTTCTGGGTGTGCAGCTAACGAGTAGGCTAGCTTGGTCACTCAACAGCGAGATACTGGTGAAGCGGGGTCTGCAGTGCCTGTGTTTTCTGTGTTGCATGAAAAAAGCACATCTTCCTTCCCCTGTCCTTACCACTTTCTATAGTATAGAGCAGGGGTAGGCAACCCTGGTATAGAGGGACAATCAAGAGCATCCTGTCATATTGCATTACAGTATGGTTTGGAAGCATCACTGCTTCAGATAGGAAAGCAATGCAGAGAGTTATGAGGATGGCAGAAAAGATTATTGGTAGTTCACTTCCTTCTATTTAGGACATAGCATATTAGCGATGCTCGAGTAGGGTCCGTAAGATTGTCTGGGACACTACACATCCTCTTCACAACCTCCTTTTCCTTGTTACCTTCTGGGAGGAGGCTTGGTGGCATCGGAAGCAGAACATCCAGATTCAGTCACAGTTTTGTTCCATATAGCATCAGCCTTGTGAACTCTCAAGCTTCCTCCTTCCGCTATGGTTTCAAAATGGACAGTATCATAATGTGTGTCATATATGTGTCTGGGTAGACAGAGACTTCCTTTTGAGAACAGGCAACAGAATTTCATTTTGGATGTGTGCCAGTGTGTCCACAGTAAAAAATGACAATAAAGGTTATCTTATCTTAAACTTTTTTTTAATGTCAGCAAAATTCAAACCATGTCTCTTGAAAAATCTGTCCAATTGATTTGACCTTAAACTGAGTGAGGCTGACTTGAGCCCTAGTACAGAAAGTAAAATGAAGTTCTAGGTTCTTCTCCTTTGCTTTTGAAGGCAGGCTTTGAGCCTACCTGGCACTGAGATTCTTTTATTACTATTATATTGTTTGCTTTTTTCAATCAAGGATTTGTGAAGATTGTGAATTTGCATGGTAAACTGAAGTCAAGCAAGAAGTTGGCCTCGGAACTAAGTTTTGATTTCTGCATTGAATCTGTAGGTGAGCAAATGCTTTCCCTGTCATTTAATGTGCCTGACGTGACTGTATCATATGCGAGAGGGTTGCACTGCAAACATTTTTAAAGACTAAAATATCATAAGATTTCTGTGATATCATTCTCAGCTCTTCTGTGTATGACGTGTCATGGATTGTTATCCAAACTTTGTCAGATTTCAGCATCCTTCATTGAAATCTCATAAGATCTCAATCCAGAACGCTAAAATTATGTAAGATTTAGCAAGCATGTCCCTAAATGGAAGTTATTTAATGTGGGGCAGTCTGTAGATGTTATTCAGAGGTTTTGCAGACAGAATGCCAGTAGGGACCACATTACTGATTCCTATGATAGATGATAAACAGTTATAAATCACCACAGATTCACAAGTTGAAATGTAAGCAAAGAAAGCATTGGAAAGAAGCCCTCTCTATCCTCAAATGCCTGTGCTTTCCTGACCAAGGGCCAGTTTTTAGGTTTAATGCTGCAATTTTTATAGTGGGAATATTCCTTCTGACTAACCCAGGGTAGGCAATCTTGGCTCTTTTATGACTCGTGGACTTCATAAAAGAGCCAAGGTTGCCTACCCCTGGACTAACCTTTAAGATCCCTCTGGTGTGATCATTTGTGATCATAAATTTTCCTTGATTAATGGCAGATAAGTAGTAGTATGAGTGACATATCACTCACTATGCCCCATTGCTTGGGAATTGTCCTTTAGCAGGGACACATGAAAAATGAGTCTCAACGAGAAAATGGGGTGCTTGATCTATGTTTATTAATCATCAGCCAATGGAAATTTAACACAGTTTGATTCTCCTGGCTTTGGAAGTGTTACCCAAGATTCACTCATTCCACAGATGTTTCCATCCTTCTTCCTTTCATTTGGATCTCTCACATATGGTGGGAACACAATAAGTCTGGCTAATAAAATGGTATCTCTTGGATTTGCTCAGAAAGCTCATCCCCAAGCATTCCTAATCAGTCTTACATTGTGTCTCTTCTTGCAGTGTGCCTCCAGGACAGTGTGTTGGCCTTCTGGAAACATGGGATGCAAGGCAAAAGTTTTAAGTCTGATGAAGTAAGTTGGGCAGGAGTGTCATTGATCATTGTTTTGTTATCCTCCTTACCCTTCAGTTAGGAAGGTGCCAGTCACAGACAAAGAAATCCTGAACAACACAATCAACTTTGTTGCTTCTAATCTGTACCTGAATAGTTTTATTGGCTCAGAGACAGATCTTAGGCAGAGTGTGTTCTGTTTTGATGCAAAAAAGAAAAAGAATAGCTCACTAGGTAGTGATAAATAGGTATTGTTTCCTCCTGCTCATGGGAACACCCAACACTGAATTTCATGGATCTGATTTAATACAGCTTCCTTTGCACATAGTATTGGACTATTGAACTGGCTAGGAGTTCTTCATTTAAATCATAGCTCAGCCATTTTGTTATTAACCAACTGGTACTCTTCTGACTTTAATTTCTCCCAATTTGTGGCATGGAAATGGTACTGATCTATCTTACAATATTTTTGTCAAGATTATAGAGATATTTGGTATAATGCTATTTAAATATCAGATGTTTGTATTGTCCCAGACTGGTTTAACTTGGGTAGAATCTGCTATTGGATTAAAAACATAGGCGAATTTCCTTGATCAGTTTTGAGTAAGGCCATAGTAGGATGCCCTATTTCTTGTCATGGGTCCTAGGTTTAATCCCTGTCAACTTCCATTGTGCTCCATATTTGCAACACTATATATAAAAATCTCTCCTCCTGTATAAACAAATGTGACTTTTCTGAGCTGAGGAAGAATTGCATTACTAGAGTTTAGTACATAATGTAAAAATGACTCGGTGTGTGTATATTATTAAAAGTTGATGGCCCGTTTGAAACAGTTCTCATTTGCAGTCTGAATTAGGTTTGTTCTTTTCCAAATGGGCAAAGATGCTCTTCTGCCAGTTACTCACATTGTGTTCCTTTTTTGCTATTTTGCAGGTTACCCAGGAGATCTCTGATGAAACAAGGGTGTTCCGTTTACTGGGCTCTGACAGGTGAGCTGAGAAGAGCAGCCTGCAGCCTTTTCTCCTTTAAAAAGAAAGTTGTACATCTAGAAAAATTATCATTGTTTCCCTGTCCTCTTCTTAAGGGGATTCTTCTGCCACTGCCTTCTCCCACCTTTCTACCAGTGTGTGATGGCCAGGCAATTGCAGGTCTAAGGCACCATGCCTTTTGATTGATACACAAACCTTTCTCATAATCTCAGCCCTTGCAACTTTCAAGTAAAGCTCTGACAAACAGCAGATGCTCTGTAGCTTCAAGGCCAAAGCCAAAATTCCAGGAAGATGAAGCTAGAAGGGAGAGAAGATATATACCCACTATAGAAGTAGTTTGAGAACCACAGGTATCTTCCATAAAACACTCTTCAGATTGTATAAAAATTTTTTGCCCCCCTTTGATCTGATTATTTCTATCTAATGTTTTTTCTCTTAAGTTCACTGAAATTGGTGCTCCTCAATTCAAGGGTACACTATGCTGCTATCTTCATTTCAGTAATATCTTGAAACCTAAAGTAGTGTGATCACTTTCTCATAAGATCTCCACTATATTTAGTTTTTTCAATTAAGTCCTTCCTTGTTAGTTAGGATCAGACTGAAGAGACTCAATCCCCTTGTTCAAGCTTCTAAAAGGTAAAGCGGTCACAGAGACTGATAAGAAATTTGGGGACCTTGAATCTTGGCTGAGATGGTTTTCTAACAGTTGAGGTCTAATAGAAGAGAATATCTGTAGCTCAGAATTGAACTGTGGGATCCTTGGTACTCTCTGAGCTTGATTTCCTTGCAGATATTGTGTTACCCCAGCACTGATGATGTTACCTACCGTGTTTTCCCCGAAAGTAAGACCTACCCCGAAAGTAAGACATACCCCGATTTTTGGAAGTGGGTCTAATATAAGCCCTACCCCAAAAATAAGCCCTAGTTTTGGGGCAAGACACATGCCTAAAAATCAACCTAGGGCAGAGGTGAGAGGGTGGAGCTGCCCCACGTGCCCCGCACCCGCTTACCGTTGCAGCCAGGCCTCCCATAAATTGATACATGCCTCATCTCACCAGCCCACTTCTTCTGTGGTGCCCCCCAGCCTGCATTTCACTGTCAGAGGCCTTCCAAAAAGGCCTTTGCAGCCAAGAACCGAAGTATGGATTCAATTTGTAGCTCAGTTCTCGGCTGCAGAGGCTTTTCTGGAAGGCCTCTCACAGCAAAATGCAGGCCAGGGGGCGCCGTGCACGTCATTCCAGAGCTCCGTTCTCAGCGGCAGAGGCATTTCCTTCGGCGGCGGCAGAAGTAGGCCGGCTGGGCGGGGCTATGGCTGTGAGATGAGACCGTAGAAAAGACACTCCCCAAAAATAAGACCTGGTTCCTCTTTTGGAGGCAAAAAAATAAAATAAAAAATAAGAGCGGTTCTTATTTTCGGGGAAACACGGTAGTTTGAAACATCTGCAAGAAAACAACCAGGGTCAGAGAACACCAAGGACTCCACAGTTGAAATCTCCCATTACTGTGCTTCTTTTCCATGAAAGTTTTGTAATCTGGTCCAGGAAGGCACGATCCATATCTTCTGCCTGGCTATCCTATAGCATACCCTCACAATACTGTAGTATCTTTGCTGTTTTCCCTTCCTGTATTCTTACCCAGTACACTCATACTTAAAGTCCTGGTTCTCTGTTAATGCATGCTCTTCCTTCACCTATAATGCTGTTCTCCTCATCTTCAGTCTGTCTACTTCTGTTTGAATAAGGTATAACCTTGAATCCTTAAAATTCTAGTCCCAAATTTCATCCGAACAGATTTCACTGTCTGTTAAATCATATTAACCTTCCTGCAGTAAGATTTTTAATTTTTTCCTTTGTGTTCCCTTTATTTTTATTTATTTTATTTATTATATTTTTACCCCGCCCTTCTCCTTGCGGACTCAGGGCGGCTAACAGCCTAATAAAAACAAATACAAAAGTACAAAAATACTACCGTTAAAACATAATTAAAAGGAAATATTAATTTGGCCTTTGTTATTTTAAAAATTATTTTAAAACCCAACTAAAAATACTCCTTAGGCCAGTCCTGCCAGCTTAAATAGCCATGTCTTGAGGGCGCGGCGGAAGGAAGGGAGATCCGGGATCACCCTGATCTCTGGGGGTAGTTCGTTCCATAGGGTGGGAGCTCCCACCGAGAAGGCCCTCCCCCTGGGGGTCGCCAGCCGGCACTGTCTGGCTGACGGCACCCTGAGGAGACCCACTCTGTGGGAGC